GGTGGGGGCGCGTGGGTGCCGGGCCGTGCAGGACGGTGAGGGCCCGTGGGTGTGGGCACCAGGCCGTGCAGGACGGTGAGGGCCCGTGGGTGCCAGACCATGCGAAGCGGGCAGGGACCGTGGATGCAGCCTTTAGGCCATGTCCGTGGGCAGGAGGAGTGGGGTTCAGGTCGAGCCCTGCACGCCTGCCCCTCCCAGGTTCCTGCCTTCACAGAGCCCTGGCCCACCAAGCACTGTGGACACAGGCCCACTCCTCGCACCCAGCGGTGCTGTGTGTCGGCCATCACCCTCCCGCAGCCCAGGGCCGGGCCTCCGCCTGCTGCCGAGGCCGTGGCCTGACTGTCCTCCCTCCTCCTACCCCCTGGGTGTCCTCTATACAGGCCTCCTGCCCCCTGCCCCCGGGTCCTCCCAGAGCTGCCCCTCCCTGGTCGTGCCTTGCCCACGGCTCGTCCCCACAGGTCATCCAGAGGCCTCCTGCCCCCTGACCCCGGGTCCCCCCACAGGTCATCCAGAGGATCTTCTACACCGTCAACAGGTCCTGGTCGGGCCGGATCACCTGTGCCGAGCTGCGCAGGAGCAGCTTCCTACAGGTGGGGCCCTGCTGACGGGCCTCCTGGGGGGGACCCCAGGCCCCCATGGACCTCCTGAGGGCGGGACCTCCTGCAGGGGGACCCCACGCCCCGGGTGGGCATCCTGCAGGTGGGACCCCAGGCCCCGGGTGGGTGTCCTGCAGGTGGGACCCCACACCCTGGGTGGGCTTCCTGCAGGTGGGACCCCAGGCCCCAGGTGGGCCTCCTGAGGGTGGGACCCCAGGCGGGCATCCTGCAGGTGGGACCCCAGGCCCCGAGCAGGCCTCCTACACTCGGCCACCCTGCCCAGGCCTGATCCCTGAGAGCCGACTGGCTGGGCCACCCCCTGCCTGTGGTGGGACCCCACACGGCAGCCCTGCGGCTGGCGCAGCACACTGCTAGCTTTCTATGGGCCGCAGTGCACACACGGGGGTCTGTACATGTGCCTGGGTGTGTGCGCCTCCGGACATGTTCCTGCACGCGGGTGCCTGTACCTCCACATGTGCCTGGACACAGATACATAGATGCCTGTACCTCCACACATGTGCCTGGACACGTGTGCTTGGACGCGTGTGCTGAGACGTGTACCTCCATGTGCGTGCCTGGGCCTGTCTGCCTCAGCCCGCATGCCTGGGTACATGTGCCGAGACATGTACTTCCACGTGTGTGCCAAGACGTGTACCTCCATGCGTGTGCCTGCCTGTACGTGCCAGTCCCCGCCCTCCCCCCGCTGACCCAAGTCCCGCGCCCTCGGCCCCGAGGACGGATGCGGCCCGCAGCGTGGCTGCTGGCTGGCGTCCTCAGTGGCTGTGGCTCCGCAGAACGTGGCCCTCCTGGAGGAGGAGGCGGACATCAACCAGCTGCCCGAGTTCTTCTCCTACGAGCACTTCTACGTCATCTACTGCAAGTTCTGGGAGCTCGACACCGACCACGACCTGCTCATCGACGCCCAGGACCTGGCCCGCCACAACGACCACGGTGAGGGCCGGCCGGCGCGGCGCCTGCCCGGGACGCCAGTCCCCACTGCCTGGCCGCCTGCACTCCCTGCCCTCACAGTAGCCGTGCTGGGGATTCCCACGTGTTCGTCCCTGTGGCAGGAGGTGTAGGGTCAGGGTTACAGTTAGGGCTGGGCTCTGAGGAGTTTCCTTCCTCTCTCCCAGCTCCCAGGGGGAGGCTCCTTCCTCTTCTCCCAGCTCCCAGGGGAGGCTCCTTCCTCCTCTCCCAAGGACCCCAGGGGAGGCTCCTTCCTCCTCTCCCCGCTCCCAGGCGAGGCCCCTTCCTCC